CTGAGTGCTGGAATTCAAAGCATGGTGCCACCATGGCCCGAGAGGCCATACGATTTATCTGGTGCCAGTGAGAGCGTGGAGGGGTCTGAAGAGAAAAGAGAAGATTTGAGACTACTCGGACAAGAATGCTTCAGGGCTATGAGGGAGGGGACAGGGTATCTTGCATGGTGAGGAAGGGAGGAAGGAATCTTGTTAATGTATGACTTAGATGACGCGGTGGAGGAGGAGGAAGGGTGGGTGCAGTTAGTTAAGATGAACCATTCTACCGGTAGGCCTAGGATGTTCCACTGCAGAAGGGAGGAATGGATGGAGAGGTTGCCTGGGGTCTGTAAATTGTCACTGGGAGAGTGGGAATGGCCCCTGCCCTTCTGGGACCTGGGGACCTGGGAGGGACCTCAGAGTTACAGACTCACAAGCAGGTGGGGTGTCTGCCTTGCCCTGCAGCCACAGGGATCCCAGAGTCAGCTAGTGGGTGGCACTCGGAAGAGCCGCAGGACAGCCTTTACTGAATGTGGTCTGGGATTTAGCAGCTCCTTCCTGGAGTCGGGATACCTGGGGAGCCTGTTACAGATGTACAGACAGACTCTTCACAGGGGATTTGTCAACAGCAGCTACGAAGCTACGAAGACAGGGAAAGGATGCTACAGGGGAATGGCCTAACTGGCCTTTAGCCTAAACCTGACAGGTCCCAGGGTCCCTTTCTTCCTGGCTGCCCCTTCGTTTCCTCTTCCTCCCCATCTTCTCCCGACATTAGCCTTCAGCAGCCGTGAAACCATGCTGTGTTTGTGTCTTTGTTTGCCTGTAAATTTCACACGTGAACCTGTGGGCATGGGCCCATCCTCCCAAGCCATGTTCTTCAGTGTACCATGGGGGTGTGTCCCAAAGCAAGCAGGTCCCTCACTGCCCCGACATCTGCTCCTTCTCTAGCACTTACTTTCCCAGTTAATGGCAACTCCAGGCCAAAGACCTCAAGGACATCCTCTCTTCTTTTTCTCCCACCCACAGTGACATCTTCATCTTCAGTCTGGTTGTCCACAGCCTTTCCATGGCCCCCAGAGGCACCCTATGTTAATGTTTCCCAACCTGCTTACTCCTCTACCCCAAGCTTGTGTGTGTGGCTCATAGCAAAAGCCAAACCACTCTTTATAGACCAATGAGACCTTACAGAATGGATGCGCGCTAGCCAGCGTCCCCTCTCCTCATCCCATTCATTCTCTGTTAGCCAGGGCCTTTGTACTTTACCTTTTAGGCTTCATTCTGGGCTCATTTTAGGTACCATTTCCACCAAAATGCCTTCAGCTTCCCCCTTCCCCATCCCTGTTTTCTGGCCCCTCGTTTCCAGGACTCTTCCTGCCTGCTAGGGAGGCAAGACCTGTGGGTCTCTTCCCTGTTGGTTCCTCAGCTCTGAGCGTGTGGCACACGTTCCATAAATAATGGCACACATCATGTAAGATCAGGGCAAGAGTCTAGAGGCTTGGGGGATGGGCAGACGTCAGCCGGAGGTGACGGGAGGGTGTCAGATAGGAATTTGGAAGGTGCTGTCCTTGGTCCTGGGGAAGTCCTGGTTTAGCATAGAGGTAAGTTGTGGTCAGTCAGATCCACGGCTGGGGCCTCTTGAGACTTGCTGGGACAGCCCTGTTGTCTCCCCCCCCCCGCCCCCCGCTTCCTCCTAACCTCCTCAGGCCAGCTCTGGGGTCTCGGCAGGTGATCCGCAACATGACCTCTGAGTTCTTCGCCGCTCAGCTCCGAGCCCGCATCTCTGATGGCACCACGCATCCGACCTCCTACTATGAGCCTGAGTTCTACCTTCCCGATGATGGGGGCACTGCTCACCTGTCTGTGGTTTCGGAGGATGGCAGTGCCGTGTCCGCCACAAGCACCATCAACCTCTAGTAGGGGCTGTGCGGCTGCTGGGCAGTACCGGGACGGAGGGTAGTGGGTTGGGAGCTGGCTTCATTTCCTGTGAGGGCCTCCCTCTCTCATGTTGGGAAACAGAGGCTCCACCTTGGTAGCATGCCTAGGGTGGGCCTTCCAGGGGTTACTCTTGGCCTGGTATGGGTGGGTACCAGGTGGGAGACGGCTGCATCGTTATCTGAGCTGGCCTATCTTCAGTTTCGGCTCCAGGGTCCTTTCTCGGGTCAGCGGTATCCTGTTTAACGATGAGATGGACGACTTCAGCTCCCCCAACTTCGTCAACCAGTTTGGGGTATCCCCCTCACCAGCCAACTTCATCAAGCCAGGTGGGGGTTGGGAATCTGGGGATAAAGGACTTGAGTCGGGAGGGGGCTGGTACCCTGACAGGCAACCGACCAGCCTCTCTGTCTCCTCCTGTGGGCCCTAGGGAAGCAGCCACTGTCGTCCATGTGTCCCACAATCATTGTGGGTAAGGATGGCAAGGTCCGGATGGTAGTGGGAGCATCCGGAGGCACACAGATCACCACATCCACCGCACTGGTACATGCCTTTGGCCTAACCCTTCCCACCACCATCTCTCCCTTCCCTTTTGCTCCGGGGCTGTGTTGACATCTCGGCTATCCTCTCCCTCCAGGCCATCATCAACAGCCTGTGGTTTGGCTACGATGTGAAGAGAGCAGTGGAGGAGCCCCGAGTACACAACCAGCTTATGCCCAATACCACAACAATCGAGAAAAACCTCGATCAGGTAGGCTGAGAGCCGAGGAAACAGAATGATGGTGTGTGTGTGTGTGTGGGGGGGGGTGACAGGACATCCTTGACTGGGGACTGGCATCTTCCGAGTCATCAGAGCAAAGACTGGCTAGTGCCCCCTGTCCAAGGCCTATGGTCCCCAGGCCCTCCGCATGGGTCACCTTGCGCCCTTGCTCAGTGACAGGCAAACGGCCGGTTCCCAGGAGACCTTAGAAACCCAGCGGCCTCTCTCTAGTTATTCCTGGCCACCTGGCCGGAAGTAGCACTAACTGGGTTTGTGAGGCCCGTGGACCATACAGGGATGGTTTCAGCCACCTCTGCGGCCTTGCTGAGACTCCTCTGGCCCTCTCACCCACAGGCGGTGACTGCAGGCCTGAAGACTCGGAACCATTACACAGAGGTCACCAACACCTTCATTGCTGTGGTTCAGGCCGTTGTTCAGACATCCAATGGTTGGGCGGCTGCCTCAGACTCCAGGAAAGGCGGGGAGCCAGCTGGCTACTGAGTGCTCAGAAGGGGCAAGACCGACCTGCAACCCAGGAGATACAGACCAGGAACAAGAGTGGGACTTTGGAGGACACGCTGACCCCGAGTGGGACAGGGCAGCACAATAAATGGGCTTAACTGCCAAGCTCCAGGAAGTCTTGCTGGTTGGACGTCCCATATCTTGGATTTTAGTGTCTGGTTTTGAAATGGAGCCATTGGACTGGGAGAATGATGAGGCAGGATCCTAAGACTTACTGCTGTTAGTGATGGAGCTAACCTCAACCTTTCAGTGGGGGGAGCCCAGTGTGCCTGGAGGTTGGGGTCCGCATCCTACATTGTCCTAGGCAGTAACACTTCCAGTATCAGCCACTAGAGGGCGCCCCGACCGTGCCGTTAACTGGGATAAAGGCACCCCTTAGCTGTGGGAGAACCTTGAGAATGCTTCATGTCCAGGGTAGGTGTGGGCTTTCATTGCCCAGCATTTATGGAGGTAAAACTGAAGGGAAGCACACTACACAAGAGGCAGAAACCTGTCAGCTTGACCAGAGCCATACTTGAGATCAATTTCCAAGCACAAACCCAGAGTGAAATCCAAGCTTGTCTTACAAAGAACACAGATCAGCCAGCTACAGGGAACCCACAGATCCACGAGGAGAACACAGCTCAAAGTGAGTGAGCCCAGAAGAGAAGTTAGGCACAGCATCCCTCCTTGTCCTAGTCAGGATTTCTATTGCTGGGATGAAACACCATGACCAAAGCAACTCGGTGAGAGAGTGTTTATTTGGCTTACACAACCATATCACTGTTCATCGTCAAAGGAAGTCAGGACAGGAACTCACACAGGGCAGGAACCTGGAGGCAGGAGCTGATGTAGAGGCCATGGAGGGGTGCTGCTTACTGGCTTGCTCCTCCTGGCTTGCTCAGCCTGCTTTCTTACAGAACCTGGGACCATCTGCAGCAGGATGTTCCCATCCACAATGGGCTGGCCCTCCCCCATCAATCACTAATGAATATTTGCTCTACGGGCTTGCCTACAGCCTGATTTCATGGAGGCTTTTTCTCAGTTGAGGCTCTCTCTCTGTCTCATGACTCTAACTTGTGTCAAGTTGATATAAAACCAGCCAGCACACTCCTAAAGGGCAGCCCCTCAACGTGCCAAGGTCTGTAGGACTCACGGCTATGAGCAGGTCACGAGACATGTAGATATAGAAGTGGACCATTGGGGCACTCCCAGCCTCAGAGCTAAATATTGCCCCTAGAAGTGAGCACAAGTCGGGGGCCTCTGAGGGAAGGGGCCCAGTGGCTGGAGGAGGTGACCCAGGAGGCTAGAAATCCTGGTGCTTCCAACCTGCCCACAGGAAAGCAGGATTTTATTCCTGTAGGCATGATCCATGCCTGGGCCCTAAGGGTCTGTGTCTCTGGGGTTCCCTACGTAAGGCAGAAGCTGGGCCATAAATGGGTAGCAGTCATTCCTCCATACGTGTAGAGGAGAAGGCAGGCTAGTGTGTTGAGGTGTGGTGTGTCACAGTGTTCCGTGCCCCACGGGACTGGCCAGAGAGTTCCGTGAACCCAGGACTGTGCTGGAGGCGTCCCTTTCTCTCACAGACCCATGGGGTTTAGCCTAGAGCTTCTTCGTGGACTTTGGGGACCTGAGTCGTCTTTCCACACCATCATCTTTCCCCATCGCTTCCTGGGTGAAGGGCTCCAGAGCCGCCAGAACAGGCTGCTCCGCCTGATATCCGTCCAGCGTCATTGCCGTCCTCTGAGAATTCTCAGAGCTGCCTCTTCACTGCCTGACCAGGATGGGAAGGAAGAGAAGTCCCCCTTGAGCCTGCTTGACACCCCCCCCCTCCATGGCTTTGTCTTTAGAGTTTTGAGGGCTGTAGCCAGTGGGCGGGCTGGCCCACACTCAGGAATGTGCTCTGGCTCCTGGTTAAGCAATGAATTGACATGGCACTGTGGGGGACAGTTGGGATAGGGAAGGTTCCCACAGACACTACCCTCTCCCTCTAGGCAGATGTGGGAACAGACAGGAAACAGTATCTCTCGCCCAAGCTGAGCAGAGCCTCTGGATGGGACACTTGACAAGCTGAGTGGCTAGTGCAGACATTCTCTCTCTGGCCCTCATTTTTTTGTTGTTGTTGGTATCAAGCAGGGGGTATAGAGATGGGAGAGGGCCATGCTCAGTGGGAAGAGAGAGTGAGGGATGCTGGGAAGGTACTGAGACTCGGAGAGAAAGTCCAGCCCAGGGCTCTTCTGCCCTGCAAGCCTGTTGAGTCTGCTCAAGAAAGCACCTCAGTGGGGGCCTCGCTCCTCCAGCTGCCTCCCATTTGAACATCCTGAGGCCAGGGAAAGACCAGACCCAAACCAGGCCCCCAAGAGGAAGAGGCTCACCAGCACAGACATAGTCCTGAGTACCACTGCACCCAGGGAGGCAGGCTAGCAGCCAGTGTGCCTCGGAGCCGCAGAAGTGAGGGTACCCAGACAGGACATCCTCACCCTCTGGAGGTCTAAGGTTGTGTTTCCGGGTCACCCTGTCCCAGGGTGGATGACGCAGTAGCACTGGGTGCCAGGGATTAGACATGTGGCCCGTCTCCTCACCCCCTTCCCATGTATGGGTGAGGCTGTGCCGGGCTGTGATAAATGGTCCTGAGTGGCTGGCTTGCTCCACTTCCCTGTACCATGTGGGGCCTAGACTGAGCTGCTGCCAGCCTAGATGGAACCAGCTGAGAGTATGGGGCTGGGGGATGGAGCTCCACCCTGCAGGAGACACCCTGACCCTGAGCTGTGGGGAGCCAGGGAAGTGGCAAGCGAGCCCTCCGCCAGCCCTGTGCCCCAAGTTCTCCTGGGTTCGGCAAGCATCGCACTCCCCATGGCACCGGGATGAGGAGCCCCCTGGGTGCTGTGGGGCCACCAGGAAAGACCCTGGGACCAACGGGCAGTGAAAGAGTTAACAGCAGCAGCCGGCCCTTCTCTTCGAGAAAAAACTCCCTGTAGATGCCTGGCCTGCCTCCAGGGCCGAGCTGTAGGAGCTAAAAACTGGAAGTTCAGACCTGTGGCCAGCTCTGCCTCTGTAGCAAGCGCCGGAGGAGGGCGGCAGCCTGGCCGCTGTGTCTGTCCGTCTGTTGTCTGTCCCTCCATAAACCCATGTGGCTGGCTGGCTGGCTTCCTGTTGGTCCTTCGTAAACCTGCTTACCCACCTATCTGTAAGCCTATCTATTATCTTTTCTACCCAGTTGTCTGGCCTGTGTGATAACTTCTATCTCTGGACCCACTGGTTTAGTTTTTTTTTTTTTCCTCCCAATCTATCTGATTGCCTGAGTTTACCTGGAGAGTTTCTTTTCCACTTGTCTGCCAGTTTGTTCCTCTGTCTGTCCACCGCCCTGTGTGCCCACCTGCCTCCCCTCTCTCCCTGGACCCCTGAGCCATGGCCTGGAGTCACAGGGCCACAGTCTGCCTGGTCCTGCTAGGTCTGGGTCTGGGTCTGGGTCTGATTGTGTTGGCGGTGGCCCTTTCTCATCATCGCGCCCCCTGTGGCCCCGATGCCTTTGCCCGCGCTGCCGTAGCTGCTGACTCCAAGGTCTGCTCAGACATTGGACGGTGAGTTAAGAGGTGGGTGTGAGCTGGGTGGCCCTTGGCGGCTGGCTGCTTCTGGAGACTGTGTGACTGTGGTAGGGGTGTGAAGAGGCCATGTGAGTACCACGCTGGCTGTGAGGTAAGGGCCTGTGTGTGTTGAGCTTCCTACATCAACCCCAGGGCCCTCGCACAGCATAGAGTTAGGTGTGTCCGTAGGGAAGATGGGGGCCCAGGACAGTGTTGCGAAGAGTGTGACTCGTGCTCAGGAAGGGCCACCTGGACAATGCAGGTTGGAAAGGCAGACTGAAGGAGGCCGGCTACTTTGTCCCTGCCTGTCCTGAGCAAGGCTGGAAGTTTTTCAGGGGCCTGGGTAACAGGCGGCAGGGTTCCATATGGAGGTCCTACCTACCTGCCACACACAATGCTTCCCAGGGCCAGGCTACTTCCCCCAAGTCTTTCAGAACACACACACACACACACACACGCACACACGGACCAGCGCCACATCTGTCAGGACCTCCCTCTCTATGGCAGGCTCTGGCCTTGGTGAGTGGAGTGACGGATGATGGTTGGCAGGTAGGAGGAAGAGGCAGCGACAGGAGCCTCAGTGGGTGTTGCCTGACCTTCTTCCAGGAAACCCAGCCCCTGGACGCTTCTGCTTCCCACCACACAGCCACAGGACCGGGCTGTGGGAGGAAGTCAGTCCTGGTCCCCTGCCTCCCACTGGGCGTCCAGAAACCCGGGCAAGCCCCTTCTTCCTTCCAGTTATCTGCGTCTCCTTCCCAGAATATCAGCCCACTGTGGGGGGCCAAGTGCTTTATACACCCAAGGCTGGGTCCTGCGCCAGGGAGAATGGTGGACTCGGTCCAAAAGATCGCTCTGGCATGCTTTCTTTTGCTGTTCTTGAATTCACCCACCCTTCCCTTCTTCCTTCTGTCCTCCCTTAATCCATCTGTCTACCCATTCTTTCCCACCCGCCTTGCTCATCATAGCCCCCACCCCGTCCCGACCCGGACCTCTGAGTTCCCAGGCTTTCTGTCTCCTCCTTCACGTCTCCATTTAACTTGGCAGTGGCTGGGACTAGCAGCAGCTCAGGAACCAGTACAGGGCGGTCTTTCCTACTCCACATGTTGTTCCCAAGGGAAGCAAGAGTTACGGCCCGCTGTTGCTCTTTCCTGTGAGATGTTGTGTCTACTTAATCCTCCCAGAACTCAACAATGTTAATGAGGCTAGGGTGCACGAGCGTGGGTGGGTGTGTCCGCTCATGTGTGCATGCGCACTCAGGCCCCACAGATAACCAGCCAGATGAGCCGCGCCCCATGCACAAGGGGGTGCGTCTACATATCTCCGAGGAAGGTCTCTGAGCATGGGTGCCGCGTAGGTGGGTGTGTCCGCTCATGTGTGCATGCGCACTCAGGCCCCACAGATAACCAGCCAGATGATCCGCCCCCCATGCGCAAGGGGGTGCGTCTACATATCTCCGAGGAAGGTCTCTGAGCAGCGTTTGGTCCATGAGGGCTGGGCTGCGGTTGGGCGCTTGGAGCCTGGCGCCTGTACACCCTTGCACTCTAAACGCCCCCTCAAGCTCTCCCCCGGTGAAAAGCGGATGTGGGCTTCCCTCCAGCGTTTGGTCAAACAACCCTCCCTGCTTCCTGTTCTTGTTTTAAGAAACCAGGAGTGGGAGGGCGCCTCCGGCACCGGCTACTTACTGTGAAGGAAGGTCAGGGACCACAGCCAAGCTAGACCTCAGGAAGGTGGCCCGGCTGCTGTGACAAGAGCTTTCCTTTTGTCTTAGGAGGTCTGCCCAGGAAAAGAACCTGGCCAGCGTCACAGCAGGCAGTCTAGGTGGGACTGGGGTTTTCCCCTCACTACTGGGGCTCCTGCCCGGGTGGGAGGGCTGTGGGAGGGACAGGCTTCCTAAAGTCACCTCCCCCTCCCCTTCGGCCCCAACCTGCCCAGCCCTGGATACATAATGGCCGTAGCTTTATTTACCAAAATTGCAGAAGGTAGGGCTCCCTTGGGGTTCTGGGGAGCAGAACCTGGAGGGTTGCCATCTGGACTGACCCTGGGTCACAAGTGCGGTGGCAGCTGATCCCTGAGGACGGAGTGTGGCCTGTTGTTTCATGCCCACCTGGTGTCTGAGGTTTGCACCCTTGGTTCAGAGGAGAGCGGTTAACACAGGCCAGGCAAGCTATAGCATCATGTCAGCCTCAGTTTCCCCGCTGGGAAGTGGCATGGCAGCTGACCCCTTCCTCACAGGATGGCTGTGAGCACACAGGTGAGTTCACCCCACACACTGGACACGTTCCTTCACCAGCGCTGAATCGTGTCATCTGCCTGGGTTGATCTGGACGTAGGCAGCATCTCAGGTCCTGAGGGGAGACTAGTCTGAGACTCCAAGTCCCGCCCTTCCAGGGCCTTGACTTTAGTTTCTGCTCTTCCTTCCTTCCAGAAACTTGTTCTATGACCTTTATTTTCTCTGTATTCCTGGCCACCTCACCAGGAAGTGACAGCCTTCCCTGACCACTGGGGCTCATGATGAAAGTCCCTTGGCACCTAGGGATGGTACACGTGAGCACAAATGCCTGTGTGAGCACACGCACACATCTGAATGAGCATGCCGTGGCAGTAGTGGTGACGACAGCCTGCTGGGTTTTTGGGGACAAGTGCATTCAATATGTATTATCCTGCCTGCCAACACTGATCACATTTCTCAGCTGAGGAAAGCCAGACTCCGGACGCTGAGTTACCCGCCTAGGCTCTTGCAGCTGGCTAGTAGGAATATAGTCCTACTTTAGTAGGACTGCTGTGGCCCTGGGCTCCTGGCTCCTGGCTGTGGTTGGGGGTTGGAGGTCCATGCGGGTAAGTCATGAGCTTGTCTCTCACCCGCAACATCTAATACTTTTGTTTGTCGAGTATCAACTACGAGAGGGGTGGATGCATGTCTCGAGGGCACAGCTTTACCTAATGTGCATGAAGTCCTAGGTTGCATTTCCGTAATGGTAAAATAATACATGAGGAACACCTCTAATCTGTCATGACCTTGGGACACGATGGTAGCCAAGAAGGGACAGAGGTCTGCCTCTGTGGAAGGAGGTGCAAACAGATCTAGAACTGTGTTGGATGGTTGGGTATGATCACTGTTTATCAGAAGTTTCTGCTTTGTGAAAAATCTCTGTCTCTCTGTCTCTGTCTCCCCCCAACACACACACCTTTCTGTGTTGATCAGAACTTAGTTAGTTAGTTAGCCCCAGGATGACAGTTGTGAGCCCTGGTGCCTGGCATCATGGAGCGCTTCCGATACCCTCTTTCTGCCGTTTTTTTTTTTTTTTTTTTTTTTAATTAGGTTGTAGATTAGATGTGTTTTCTATCTTGTTATTTCTCTCCCTCTAAAAGGCGGTATTAAGCCACTTTTGTATTCCTAGCACAAACTCCGCTTAGTAGTGATTCAATATAATTGTTGTATCATGGACGATAAAAATTTGATTGGCTCATTTTTGTCCTGATGCTCTGTAATTTCCCCTCGTTTCAGTGCATGGGTCCAATCGAGGGCCTCATGCACATCAGGACATGCTGCGCCGCTGAGCCACGCTTTATTGTATTTGGTATGGGGTTCATGCTGATTTCATAAAGAACTGGGGAGCTGTGTTTTCTTTCCCCGTGGCTGTGTTAAAATACCCCGAGGACAACAATGTAAAGGAGAGAGGGTTTATTCTGACTCACAATTCAACATACAGTTCATCATGGGGAGGAGTTCAAGGCAAAGGGAGCTTGGAGCAGCTGAGCGCTTCACATCCACAATCAAGAGAACAAGGAAGGTCTGTGCTCAGTTTATTTCCTCCTTTCCACACAGTCCAGGGTCCCGGTCCCAGGAACCGAGGCAACCCACAATGGGTGGATCACCTCGACTCAATTCAATCAAGACAGTCCCTATGCACATGCCCAGAGGCCAGTGTCCCGGGTGATTCTAGCTCCCAGGTGATACCAACGGTCACCTGGCACACTCTCTCTCTCTCTCTGCTCTCTGGAAGAAAAAGGCTTATTTTGTGTTGTTTATAAATTGGCTGATTTTTATCTGGACTTGTTTAAAAGAACTTACCGGCTGAGCCTTCAGCAGGAGTTTGAATCTTGCATGTCTTCTCAAGGTCCTGTGAGCTCTCCACTCGGTGCATTTGGGGTGGGCAGACTGGGAGGCCTTGTAAGTATTGGGGCTTGCCTTCCCTGGAAGAGGACTGTGGGGCCCCTCTCTCCTCCATTTTCTCTTCTTCACTTCCTGGGAGGGTTTGTGCAGCCAAACACTTGTACCACGTGTCCCCACAACGTGTCCCCACAGCCCCAGGGCCACAGAAGCAAGCTGCCCGGGACTACAACTTCTGGGCTGTGAATCAAAATAAACCTTTTCTTTCTGGAAGTTGATTATTTCAGTATTTGTTAGAGAAATAGAAAGCTAGCATTCCCTCTGTGCTTGAGTTATTTGTGTGTGCATGTGAAACCTTTAAACCACGGTTTCTGTTTCTTTAATAGGTGTTCAGTTTCTATGTTTTAAATATTTTACATTTATTTATTTACTTATTGAAGGTGTGTGTGTGTGTGTGTGTGTGTGTGTGTGTGTTATGTAGGTCAGAGGACAACGTGTGGAAGCTGGTTTTCTCCTTCTATCATGTGGATTCTGGAAATGGCATTTAAGTCGTCAGGCTTGGCAGCAAGCGCCATTACCCACTGAAGCATCTCACCAGTACGTTTCTATTCCTTTGGATGCATTACCGGAAGTTAGTAAATCTTTTTCAGGAAATGTGTCCAGCTTATGCACACTGTCACATTCATTAACACACTTTTTCAAATCTAAAACCTTCTTTCCAGGTGTGGTGCCACATAACTACAGTCCCAGCACTTGGGAGGATTAGGCAGGAGACTGGGAGTTTTAATTCAGCCTGGTCTACACAGCAAGACCCTGCGTTAAAAACAATCCTCTTAGCATCTTTTGAATGTTTATAGGGGCCCGTTATGAGTCTTTGCCCCTGATC